AAAAAAAAAAAAAAAAAAAAAAAAAAAAAAAAAAAAGAAAGTACAAAAATATAGAACCAGCTAACAGCAGATTGCTCATCCCATGACCTAATGTCATAAGAACTTCACAGACAGATTATGATATGACATAAAGAAGATAAACTTTGAGTCTTTAGAAATGCCCAATGCAATCACTCTTGTTATAAAGAATTACATAACGAGGGTTTGAAAACCCAGTTTATACTTCAGCAGAAATAAGCATTGTGAACTAAAATGCTGTTGGATTAAGAGAGCCTGTTTTGGTCCATGTATTCTATATGTATGCATTGAAATAGCATGCCAAATTCTATTCATATGTACAACTAATACATATGGATCAAAAATTTTAATGAAGATTCATTGGATTTGTTTTTAACTTCTATCAACTACGATTAAGCTAAAAGTTGTTACCTTGGTGAACAGAGGAAGAGGATGCTATCCGCTTCTGGTAAGTAGATCATTTGGCCCTTGAGACGTAAGCAGCTAATCTCCGTCCCAGTCAGTTCATCCTCACATTCAAGTTTCTCAACATCCAGCAATCCTTCCTTGAACAGAGAAGACAAAACATTAGCTTTTGACCTTCCCCTGCCTGACAAGGCATCAGGAAGGAGTGAAAAGATACCCTTCTCACCAACCCTAAGGGAGTGGAAGCTAGCCCATTAGAACCAGAAGGGTGATGTCCTGGGTAAGATGGGCAGTGCTTGATGGCCTTCTTTGCACACAGGATGACGGTACTGGAGCTGCAGCTCCTGCATTCATTGTAAGCGCCTGTGATTTTTCCATATGGCCACACACATTTGTGAATTGCACCAAAGCTAAGGCAAGCTAACTCTGTGTTCACATAACAACTGAAAGCAGTCAGCATGTAAAGCACATGTGGCCGTGCCTTTGGAACATCATGTGGGGAGTATGAAAGATGTGGATGCTTGGGAAATTGTGTTTGCTACAATTATCCCAGGCGCACAAATGAGATCTGGAAACCATCTAAACTACCAACTACATCAGTTTATGGATTCTTAATCCTTTTATTTCCCTACAGAAAAAGAAATGTTAGCAAGAATTATAAACTATTTACAGAAGGATAAATCACTAGCTTTGGTGACATTATCAAAGACTTCTTGTTAGGTCTTCTGATTTCTTTCTTTCTTTCTTTTTTTTTTTTTTTTTAAAGCATTGTAAATTCAAGGGAGTAGATGTTGGTTTTATTATGTGAGACTGAAGAGACTTAGATGTTCCCAGCAAGACACTTTCTCAAACTTTTTTTTCCCCTACTGGTTCTCATCAGCTGACAGAGGTCTACGTTCTTCAGCCAAGCATTGCTCTCTTGAGATTTGTGTTTTATGTTCTTCTATCTCCATTGCATAGACTATGCTCACAGATGATTTCCCCTCTCCATTCCATTGATTGATAACATGTCTTGTTTACATTCAGTTGAAGGAGTGTCTAATTACCTTGCTTCTCAGTACAAAGACTGTATTGATATGCGAAAGAATCCCATGGAAACTGATGTCAATATGAGGGCGGACCAGAGAGAACACAGACAGAAGGCTGCAGTTCCCAGGCTGGAGCTAAGAGGCAAAAAAGAAAAAAAAGAAAGAAAAGAAAAGAACACTCAGCAACTTAAATTTTACTCTATGATTAGATATTAATCTTGATATTAAGCCAGATCAATTGCATTTATAAGTGAAAAAATCTTAAGTATTATCCGGGAAATTTATCCTGAATACGCAACTGAGTGATTAAGCAAACATCAAATACTGGCAGACAACAAACCTCATATGGATTTAGGTAACTAATATTCAAATATAAGCTGATGCAAATAAAATAATAATTTCAGGGGAGAGAAGGAAAGTAATTTTCTAAGCTGTAGCATCATGTGTTAGATGCCTGTGGCTGAAAAATGAAACTAAATATCAAAACACCAGTAAATAGTTGCTTAACATTCATCAAAAGAGAGATAATGATAATAGAAGTAATAACACGCAGCAGCTGCTTATGATGGAGCAAATAACTGGATGAAAAGGATCTGGTGTCTTGTCAGGACAGAAGGAAACAGGAGTAACACACCCGGAGGGAAAGCCCACACGAAACCCTCTTCTGCTTCTGCTTCCAGAGCTACAGCTTTGCACAAGACCTCTGCACTCCAGGCCTGAATTACAGCCAAGGTACCTCCACACGCACATGCCATGGGCAAATCCTTACATGGACTAGAGAGAAAGGGCAAATACGCTGAACCCTCTGTGGTCCTTCAGTGCTCAGCCACTCCACCCATGGTGACTTCCATGCTTTTCATCCCGAGTGTCTGCAAATTCCCTTCCTCCCCTTGTCAACAGCTGACTTTGAAAACTATTTTTGGAAGGCAGACAGGCAGTGAATATTTATTCAATAAACAAAAACATGAGTGAAATCTGACTGCTGTTCCCGAGTCCCCCATTTTCTCCCAAGGCAAATCTGCTGTTCTCATACAACTCCCTCCTCTCCCTGTCAGTGATCAAAGAAGAAGCAAGTAAGTCTAGTGGAAATATTTTCAAATGCGCTTAGGTTATAAGTGCGTGGGATATTTCCTGGGGCGTTGTCAAAGAGGAATGAAACCTGTGACAGGGTCAGGCCCCCCAGGGACCCTGCGGGGTGGAGCTGTGCCGTTTACCTGGGGGAGCACTCTGTAGATGGCATTGCCACACTGAGTGACTACCAGGTCCCGGTCAAATATTATGTGGAAAGGAAATGCTTTGCAGAAGGTGTACGGGCTGATGCGTGATTCCTGGGTACCATTTTCTTCAAACCTGTCCAGATCTTCATAAAAATCCTCTTCTTTCGACTCTTTCTCTTCGATTAAAAATTGAGTGTGGTCACATTCTTCATTTCTTTGCTGAATAACCTGGATGTTGATGGGAGAAAACATGGTTAACTGATGGTGTTTTAGTTCAGCTATGAATCTAAGTGACTGTTTCTGAACACTGCGTTTAGAAAATTAGAAAAATTAAAGTATGTGCAAATGCTATACACATGTAAAGCTGAAAAATCTTTCTAGATATTTTCAGATCTGTGCAATGTGAGGGCAGTATTCTTTTGGGACAAGGTCTTATGTATTTTAGACAAGCTTCTACCAGGAAAGTTTCTAGTCAGCTAGGTAGCTGAGAACAACTTTGAACTTCGGAACCTTTTGCCTCTATCACCTAAGTACTGAGATCGTGGGTTTGTGCCACTGTGGTAGTTTATTCCATGCTAGAATCCAGAACCTTGTGAATGGTAGGCAAGCATTCTACAAGCTGAACTACCTCCCATAGTTACTAATACATCATTTTTAATTATAATTCTGGTAGGATTCCCCATTAGCACACATGGCCTTTTGGGTGGCCTAGGAAGAGAGTAGGCCTCCCAAGCAGGCACATTTGTAGAGCAAATCCATGGCTACACTGCCCCTGAGGCTGCACGGGACAGGCACACAGAGAACAGCTAACTAGGAGAAGCCACCCAGGTTAGAGACAGAAAAATGGCGATTTTCCTCATTGCACAGTTTCTCTGTTGATACCTTGAAATTGCCACTCAAAAATAACAATGGCTGTCATCATACAGCATCAGGAAAGACCAGAGCTGGCTTAGCTATGTTCACCAGCACAACTTGAGTTAAAAAAAGAAAAGAAAGAAAGAAAGAGAGAGAGAGAGAGAGAGAGAGAGAGAGAGAGAAAGAAAGAAAGAAAGAAAGAAAGAAAGAAAGAAAGAAAGAAAGAAAGAAAGAGAGAGAAAGAGAGAGAGAGAGAAAGAAAGGAAAGAAAGAAAGAAAGAAAGAAAGAAAGAAAGAAAGAAAGAAAGAAAGAAAGAAAGAAAGAAAAGAAAAAGAAAGAACACGAACAAACATTTAGTTGACAAAATAAAATGTTCTAGGTACATTCTGGGAAAGACAAAAGAATCCGCATAGAAAAAAAGGGATCTGTAAATCAGCTAATTTAATATGTTCTTTACATTTCATTATCCACAATCTGATATCTTGCCGGCTGAAGCTCCGCCAGTCAGCACCCCTCCCCTTCCCCAGCTGGCGTGTATTCACAGAAAGTAACTGAATTTCCTCTTGCCTGAAGCAATGTATAATTAGAAAGAAAATCTGTTGCAAGGGGAAAATTGCCCGGTATAATGCACTCCCAGGCCACATAGAGAAGACTCCTGGGGCTCACACCGTTTCTGCTTTCGGGTGCTGCTAGTGTAGCCCACGAGCAGCAATGACTGTAGTGCCATTTCAAACGTTCCAGGGTCACTTGTATTCAGGAACGTCTCCGATGGTGGGCATTACCTTCATGTCTATCTCTGTGCCGTGGATCTGTTGAGCAACCGTCTTGATGATGCCAATGACAATGTCCTGAAGCCCCTCTCTTTCCGAGTAGTAGTGCAAAATGAGCCCCTTCCCTTTGTCTGCATCGGTGCACCTGAAGGAGGGTGCGCGCATCCCTGGGTAGATGGTAGCGAGGTGGTCATGCAGGGCGTCGAGGTTCTGTAGGGAAGAGGGAAGCACAGTGCCTAGAAACTTCTACGAGGGTTTAGCAATACAAGGAGCAGAAACAAGTTTCAAATCTGGATTTACTGGGCGGGTCACCATGGTAAACATTTACATAGGAGAGCCTTCGTGGCATCCCCGAGATAGCTCCATGTTAAGTACCACAGAGAGAATGAAAAGAGAGCAGAACGATTGAGAAGAATGTTTGTGATTATCAATGGTGCGTTTCAAGAAATGATAAATAAGTGCCATTCACCAGAAAAGGAGCACACTTAAGGACGAAAGCAGGCGTCTGAGGTTGCTCTTCACGTGCATTGTAGTAAGCAGTAAAGAATGTTTAAATCACTCACATCCTTTCTGCTTGCTCTATCATCCCCAACTGAATTTAATTAAAAAAAAAAAAAAAAAAAAGCAAAACGTCAAGGATAGTGAAACATAAGCATATTACTTTAATTATTGATATTTTTAATTAAAGATGTGTTTATTTAAGATAAAGGGTGTATAATTCCTTCTTTATCCGTGATCCCTGACCGAGATGAGAGCCCATAGCAAGGCACCAGACAAATGACTGTCTCCAACTAAAGTCTTGGAAAATTAAAGTTTTCTATTTTATTGTAGCTTTGTTTTCTATTTTATTTGTATTTATCACTTGGAACATGCTAAATTTCTTAGCATCTTCCATTAGTCCCTAAACTTCGAGACTGATTTATACACGGGTTGACATAAGAACTGTGAAAGCCACACTTTTAAGTCAGTCCAACATCATAGCATTTAGTTGACAACATATTTCATGCAGGCTTGTGCGGACTCAGGAGATACACCCAGGCACAGAGGGTCATGAAAGATAACACTTTTTCCATCAGTTGGGTAAATCCAGTGTCATTCTGTGTGCCTCAGTCTACAATGAATTCTGTTTTCTTCCCTCTCATAACCCCCTCGTAAAAATCAAGACAAGCTAGTGTTGAACAAAAATATGGCTTCTTCCTGTTTGCCTCTAGGGGCCGCTGTTGCCGTGCAAAAGTTATGAGGCAGTGTTCTAGCCTGCACAGGGCAGTTCCTGGAACCCACCTGTCCTAGAACTGCTCATTTCTTTCTATTGAGTTGAATGGTACAAGGGGTTCTTCTGCAAAACCCTTAAGACCCCTGCAGATCTTTTTGTCTAAAAATCTCGGGAGAGAAAATCTCTTGAGAAGAAAATGTATTGTCAAGAGTTTTACTTTTAATCTCCATTTTCCACAAAGTCTCAACTGAATTTGTGTCTGCATTAAGGACATTTTTGGTACATATTACAGTCCAAGTACTGTGCTGTGCTCCTTAAAATGAAAGAAAACCACGCGAAGTAGGCGGCTTAATAATATTTCATTTTTTCTAAACAAAATATTAATATTCTCTAGTCAATATACCCATGTCACCTGCTTACTGTCAATTTCCATTTTGGTTCATGATGTGCCCTTTGTACATTCCTACATGCAGTCAACCCAATCACTGGCAGTGACAAAGGTGCCATTTCTGCTAGTGGCTACCTTGATGTCAAGGCAGGTCTGACCCTGGACTTGATCACCCAGGATGGACGAGTCATTCAAGACAGCACCCTTCCTGTCTTTGGTGCAACCTTTGGAATTTGTGCACAGGTACAGACAGTATTAAAGTTTGAATATTGGTAATACAGCAGCACTCAAATGTTTCCTGAAAGGCAAGCGGGTTACTACAAATGCTGAGTGACAGTGTTTGTGATTCAAGCCTTTTTGTGGTAACCAACCCTCCGGTGATTTACTGTTGTATTGAATTTGCTATTAATTAAAAGGACAAGTAGAGTGCTTTGTTGGAGCACGGAAGATTTACCACTTAATGTAATATTGATTTTCTTTAGATAGTGCCCAGCATAAAATACACTCTTGGGACTTCTTCAGTTACAGCTTTCCTTACTCAATTTCACTCCATCAAAATTCAAGTGATTACCACAGCCTGTCTCTTCTAAGAAATTGGATTGTGATTAGATTTAAATTATTTTCACTGCACTTATACTGCTAAGAGATGTGCAGTATTCATATTTGAACTACAATTGTTACAGTAGCCTCGGGAAACCAGAAACAAGGACCCTTTGCATGGACAAGAGAGAAGCTTATCCACACTTGATAGCACTATCTAAACAGACTTGACAATTCATGAACACAGCTATTTTGATACATTTTGGGCAATAAAACGTTCTTCACAAAACTGGAGTTGTTTTATTTCTAAGTATAGCCAGGGAGGTAAGTACAGGAAGAGAACAGCTGCATGACTAGTTAGGAGGAGGATGCACATTCATAAAACAGCCAAAAGTCATGGGAAAATGTAAACACACATGCTTCAGTGTGGAGCAACCTCCGAAAAACCACGGAGCAACCTCAAGTATGCTTACACTTCTTATTTTCCTTAGAATCATTCAAAAGGGTGATGTTTTTGCCCCAATACCTAAAATTCAGTCTGAGGTTTCAATTTAATTTCTTTTGTTTGTTTGTTTTGGTCTCTCCAGACAGGGTTTCTCTGTGTAGTTTTGGTGCCTGTCCTGGATCTCGCTCTGTAGACCAGACTGGCCTCCAACTCACAGAGATCTGCCTGGCTCTGCCTCCTGAGTGCTGGGATTAAAGGCGTGTGCCACCACATCCCAGCTTAATTCAATTTCTAATTGTGCTGATATCTTGCCCCCCCCCCACACACACACACACAAAGAGAATGAATGTATGTTTTCTATGCAAGGATTCTGCAACTGTCAGTCCAGTTGACTGGTCTGGTGTCTGTGCTTTCAAGAGGAAGGAAAATGTGTCCTGTTACCCTGGGCCAGTACTGCAGCTCCAGGTGGGGTGTGCTCGGTACATGTAGGAAACAACTGTTCCCCTGAGAAACACTTTCAAGTTTCATACTTTTTAAGATTTTGGACTATTTCAAAATAATGCATCTTTTCTTCTTGAAATGTACCAGGTATATATAACAAAAACAAGCTTATACATAATGACAGAGACAAAATATGAAGAAATTCAAGACCTCCTTTCTCTGCGCGTAGTGTAGCTAATCAAAATGTGTACATTGGTCAAAGAAATGTAGAGATAAAGACTTTGCCTGGAACATTTTAGGAAACTGATTCTGTTTGTGTTTTCAGTCTTCATAATCCTTAACACCCTGAAGTTGTATTGATGATCCATTGAGGGTCAGCACTGAAAAAAACCTTCATGATGTTTCTAAAAGGCCTCCTGGCCACCCAGCACTTTCTCACTTTCCATTTGCTCACACCTCGGAAAGGCAGGGTCAACATCAACCATGGTCAATACGGACTGCAGATCCTGAAAAACCGCCCTCTGAGGTTAATGAGAAATAAGCCATTTTGGAAGTTGGAGAAGAAAGATTTAACCCAGCATCACTGAAATAAATGGTGAGCCTACCCATAAGTTGGTGGGAAACAGGAAAGTGATGGGAAACACGGAGTTACCCCCTTTCCATTTGGGAGCTACTCCTTCAAAAAAACAAACAAAAACAAAATGAAAAGAATTAGTATTTTTAAAAGAAAAGCACGGAGTGGACTGCAGAAATGGTTCAGTTTTTAAGAACACTTGCTTCATTTGCTCAGGACCCAGGTTCAGTTCCCAGCACCCACACAGCAGCTCACATCTGCCTGTAACTCTCCTTAAAGGGGATCTAATGTCCTCCTCTGGCCTTCCTGAATACTAAGTATCAATCTGGTGCACAGACATACATGCAGGAACTCACCCTTACACATAAAGATAAAAAGAAATAAATCATAGAATAGAAAAAAGAAAAAAAATGGAAAGTTCTATTTGAAAAGAAAATGTATCCAAGCCATTAAAATTATTTAAACAGAAATTGGTGAAAATTGTATGTATTTACCACAGCATTTTCTTAAAAGAAATATCTTAGTTAAGGATAAAAAAATAAATAAAATATACTTTTGTGACTATTACACATATTCCTGTGCTTTAAAACTCATGTTAAAAACAGAATTCTGTCAGATAATACCAAATTTAACAACTGATCTATATTTAGTGAAAGTATGTAAGCAGTTATTCAAGAAGAATCTTCCAATTTTTAACATTTTTATCTCCCTTCACTTTTGTTTTGTTTTTCTGTTTTAAATAAATGTAAGTCACATTTTAATTGCAGGTTGTAGACATTAGAGTTTAGATGTTTCTTTTGAAATCCAAAAGTTAAAATAAAGTGACTAGTGCATTTTCCTCCAAAATATAAATAATTTAGGGAAGTATTAGGGTTTTACAGCTGTTTAGGAAAATCCTACTATTTCCCAAAATAGCCACTTGCACAAACATTTGAGAAATTGAAATTGGATCTACTGTGAGTGCCAGGTTGCTGCTGGTGGGCTGTGTTTTATAACCCCAAACCAGAGCCAAGCAGAGCTGAAGGGAGCAAGTGACTTAACGTGCCATAGACCCAGCTGAGAGAACCAAGTCTCCAGCCAAGAATGAAAGAATATTTAAATTTTTAAATGAGGTCCTTCTGGGTCTTGAAATAAGCTCATAAATACAAATCTTAACAGGTCTCTAAAATAGCCTTTTCCCTGTGTCATTTTCAAGTCAACCTGGCAGCTCTTGATGCTGATTTTGTCTATAAAATTGCTAGGGCCATAAAGAACAGACAAGGTAATAATGCAGCATCATTAGGAATGAATGGGGAGTCCTGTATTGGCCTCATTTGGGTCCCATGTCAAAGGCCCTACAGCAGCTCACCAAGGACTTACTCAAAGTTCTTGGCTCATTGTCCATGTACAAACACACACACACACACACACACACACGCACGCACGCACGCACGCACGCACGCACGCACGCATGCACGCACGCACGCAAGCACATATTAAAAGAAAAAAATCTACAAGGAAAAATAATAAAGCCCTGTTGCAATTTTCCTTGTGGTAGAGCAAGCCACACCAACACTTACTGATTGAACTAGTTTATTGTCATCTTTGATGATTCTCTGTGCTGTCTGAC